AAAACTGGCTTCTCTGGCTTCAGCCGAGGCCAGGAAATTCCTTCCTTCTCTGGTTTAAAACTTGCTTCTCTGTCTTGAGCCGAGGCCAGGAAATTCCTTCCCTCTCTAGTTTAAAACTTGTTTCTCTGTCTTGAGCCAAGGCCAGGAAATTCCTTCCTTCTCTGGTTTAAAACTTGTTTCTCTGTCTTGAGCCAAGGCCAGGAAATTCCTTCCCTCTCTAGTTTAAAACTTGTTTCTCTGTCTTGAGCCGAGGCCAGGAAATTCCTTCCTTCTCTGGTTTAAAACTTGTTTCTCTGTCTTGAGCCAAGGCCAGGAAATTCCTTCCCTCTCTAGTTTAAAACTGGCTTCTCTGGCTTCAGCCGAGGCCAGGAAATTCCTTCCTTCTCTGGTTTAATACTCGTTTCTCTGTCTTGAGCTGAAACCAGAAAATTCCTTCCTTCTCTGGTTCAAAACTGGCTTCTCTGGCTTGAGACGCTTCCTTCTCTGGTTTAAAACTGGCTTCTCTGCCTCGAGCCGAGGCAAGGAAATTCCTTCCTTCTCTGGTTTAAAACTGGCTTCTCTGGCTTGAGCTGAGACTCGGGACCAGAAATGGGGAAATCTGAATCATTTCTGACTCACTTCCTGAGTAATAACACAAATGGAGGAAAAAGCTTCAGAAGGGCAAAGGGACTTCCAGTTTTTACAAAAGCTTCGATATCATTTCAAAAAGGTAATTTTAATGAAATTATTACGAGCAACAAGTTATCCAATGTAACTCTATCCGTGCCGTGTGTGTGTGTGTGTGTGTGTGTGTGTGGTTTTGCCCATGCGTTGTAATGTATATTTTTTTTCCTTTTTAAATTCTTTTCTACTGTGTGTTTCAGTATTTTTATGTGTGATGGTCACTCGTTGGCCAGAGAGGTGTCTTGTGTCCAAATTTGGTGTCAATGCGTCCTGTGGTTTTTGAGTTATGTGAATCCCACAAACAAACATTAGATTGTTATTTAATGTATTTTTAATTTTTTTTTGGATTTTTAAGTCTCTTCCGCTGTGTTTTTCAGTGTATTTATGAGTGATGGTCACTCGTTGGCCAGAGAGGTGTCTTGTGTCCAAATTTGGTGTCAATGCGTCCTGTGGTTTTTGAGTTATGTCCATCCCACAAACAAACATTACATTTTTATTTATATAGATTCCGACCAACAAATATATGGGCAGGAGCTATGCCCAGAAATGCGTTCCAATGAGGTGGTTCCTTTAGAAAGAAGTAAAGCTAGACTTTTGGAGGGTCTCCCCTGTAAGAGAGACCCCTAGGACCGCACCAAAAACAATCTGCGACCTCGGCAAGCCATCAAAGGACCCTGATTCCAGCAGTTTTATTAATATTAATAATTGAAATTAGACTCTTGCCAAGGCGAAGAAGTGGCACCGAGGTTTATTGAGCGATTCAGCTGAAGCGAATGCAATTGCAGTGATCATTCACATGCAAGCATACCAATACAAAGTTTGGAAGCATTTTTATAGCAAAAACATGTTCAGAGATTTCAAATTTCCCACCCGCCCTTCCCCGCCCAGCTTGACGGTGATTGGCTGGTGGCCAAACAGCTGGGAGGAGGCTTGGCGGCCCGCCCTCAGCCTGGGCCAATCACAAGGCTTCCCCGCTTCTGGGGAGCCTATCAGGACGCTTTCCCCGCTTCTGGGGATCGACGAATCAGGGAAGAGGAGGCAGGACGATCAGGGACAATGGAGAGTAATGGGATTATGACATCTTGAAACCTATGTGTCCCTGCGTCTGGGGGGGAATCGGCCAGCTGGGGCATTGAGTTATTGTCTTGTTGATGAAAGGGTTGATTGACTCAAGGAGAGTTTTCCTGTCCCTGATCTGATAAGAATTTAGTGCAGAAAAATAAGACATTAAAATGGAGCCGATCCGCCATTTTGTGATTTTTGCAGATATCGAGATCCGAAAGGAGAGACCCCGTATCCGCGGTTTCAAATAACGCAGATCCGGCGTCCCCAGAATGCCAGGGAGGCATTCCAGGCAGGCTTGTGGTTCCCCGGAGCCTGGAAAAGGTTACTTTCATGCAATTTGATAGTTCAGGCAAGGAGAGACACAAAGTATCAAGCGAGAAAGTTAAAAAGTTGCAATCTCAAGTATCTTTATTAGAGGAATAGTTACAATGTTAGGGCTTGGGGGAAAGTGATAGAAAAGCATAGAGGCTGAGTGCAGTCCCTGTTTTGAGCTATCTGTTGGGGCACATTTCATCAGTTTGTCCCAATTGTGGCTCCTAGGAACTGCGGAACTCTCGGCTATGTGTCAGACCAACTTGAAGGCGGGGTCCTCCGCTGTCCTCGATGACAGAAGAAGCAAAGATCAAGAGCTGTATCTCCACCATTGCCCATGGAAGCCCATCAGTGGAGCTCCATGCTCCACAGGCCTGAAGAACATCTCAGGGGGCGACCATAAATACCCTTCCAAACAAAAGAGAACCGAGAGCGTTTTCTCCAAAGACATTATTGCAGATGTTCAATAATATTCTTCTACGCCCCGGACATTCTGTTCCTAGCATTATCCTCAAATCGTTCCCCGTTGGCTATCTGATGTGCTTTTCTCTCCCCCACACTGAAGGGATTTAGAGATTTCAGATGCAATTACTGGAGCTTCCCTCGGAGATAGAGCTAAAAGAGGAGGAGGAGGAGGAGGAGGAGGAGGAGGAGGTGGAGGAGGAGGAGGAGGAGGAGGAGGAGGAGGAGGAGTCTTTGTTATCATGCCCTGTTTGCAGCTATCATGATCCATCTAGCAAAGGAGGAGGGAGCTTCTCACTTGGGCGCATGGGGGCACATCGCTTGCGTTGGAGGGTCTTCCAAAATGCTTTGAGCCAAACTTTGACAAATCCCAATGGAGGGAGAAGTCAAAACAAGTCCTAAAATTAATTGACTTCCTATGTGGTTGAGAAGGGAGAAGGTGGGACAAGGTGAGGAGAGTTGGCATCTCAGCGTTAGGACGTGAAGAGATGCCATGGTCCACCTCCAATTTTGCAGGATAGTTTTGGAGAACTGGGAGAATATTGTGGTGTAACTGGCTGGGTGTCAGCTGCATTACAACGATCTAATGATTCACCGTCTTGCCATGTCCGGAGTTCATGGTCAGGCCCTTAATTGGTTCAACTCATTTCTCCGGAACCGGAGTCAACGCGTGGAGTACATGGATCAAGTCTCCGATGGATCCCCCCTCCTATGTGGGGTCCCCCAAGGTGCAATTCTCTCTCCTCTTCTCTTCAACATCTACGTTAGACCCCTTGCTAGTTTGGCTCGGAGTTTCGGCCTGGACTGCTACCAATATGCAGACGATACCCAACTCCTTCTGCGCCTGGAGCCTGGAGCAACGTCAATTGCAGACAATTTCACCCGATGTCTGGAGGATCTGTCAAACTGGCTACGTGCTAGCAGACTGAAGGTGAACCTGGCGAAGACATGGTCTGACTCCTCCATTACCCACCTTCGATGGTGCTGCCCTATCTCCTTCGCCTACCGTTAAGAGTTTGGGTGTCGTTTTGGATTCGCAGCTGACAATGGAAGCTCAGGTCGCTGCTGCCAGCAAACAAGCCTTTTTCCATCTACAACAAATGAGGCAACGGGCACCCTACCTATCTGACGAGGCTCTGGCAACGGTCATCCATGCCACGGTCACGTCTAGGCTGGACTATTGCAACGCCCTGTATGTGGGCCTTCCGATGTCTACGACCCGAAAGCTCCGTATTGTTCAGAATGCGGCAGCCAGGTTACTCACAAGAACGCCCATGAAATGCCATCTAACACCAGTGCTGCAACATTGACATTGGCTTCCAACTGAGTCCCGTGGCCTGTCTAAGATGCTAGTTCTGACCTTCAAAACTCTTTACGGCCAGGGTCCATCGTACCTTAGGGACCGCCTCTCCTTCTCCCATCATCGGAGGTCGCAACGACCATCCCAACGTGACTTACTCCATATACCGGGTCCTAGAGAAGTGCCCTTGGAAAGGACCAGGAGCAGGTGGGCTTTCTCTCTTTCCTTGCCGCCCTACATGAGAGCCACGCGTGACTTAGGACCTTTTTCTCTCGCACTTAAGACCTGGCTTTTTACGAGAGCATTCGATCTCTGTTGATTTTTCAATTCTGTATGTATGTATTTTATCTTTTACGATTTAGCTGTAAATCGCCTAGAGCTTTCTCGGATGGAGGGTGATTAATAAGTTATTCAATGATGATGATGATGATGATGATTTTTATGGTCTTGGCAAAGGCAGCTTCACCGGAGAGTCGCCTTTGAGAATCTGCACATTTGTATGAGTCACAGTGTCCGAGGAAGAGGAAAAAGAAGAAAAGGAAAGAAGGAGAAAAAGAAGAGGAAGGGGGGAGGAGAGTGAGAAGGAAAAGGTCGGGAAGACAATTAAGAGAAAGGGAGGAGGAGGAGGAGGAAAGGGAGAGGAGGAAGAAGGCCAGGAGAAGAAGGGAATAGAGAAGGAAAGAGAAAGGCAGGTAAAGGAAAAGGAGTAGAGAAAGAGAAGCAAAAGGAAGAGAAGAAGAAAGCGGAAGAAGAGAAGGAAATTAGAAAGAGAAGGAGGAGGAGGAGGACAAGAAGGAAGTGAAGAAGGAAAAAGAAAAGCAGGTAAAGGAAAAGGAGTAGAGAAAGAGAAGCAAAGGGAAGAGAAGAAGAAAGCAGAAGAGAAGGAAATGAGAAAGAAAGAGGAGGATGAGAAGGAAGTGGAGAAGGAAAAAGAAAAGCAGGTAAAGAGAAAGGAGAAGAGAAAGAGAAGCAAAAGGAAGAGAAGAAGAAAGCAGAAGAGGAGAAGTAAATTAGAAAGAGAAAGAGGAGGAGAAGGACGAGAAGGAAGTGGAGAAGGAAAAAGAAAGGCAGGTGAAGAGAAAGAGAAGCAAAAGGAAGAGGAGAAGGAAGCAGAAGAGGAGAAGGAAATTAGAAAGAGGAGAAGGATGAGAAGGAAGTGGAGAAGGAAAAAGAAAGGCAGGTAAAGAGAAAGAGAAGCAAAAGGAAGAGGAGAAGGAAGCAGAAGAGGAGAAGTAAATTAGAAAGAGAAAGAGGAGGAGAAGGACGAGAAGGAAGTGGAGAAGGAAAAAGAAAGGCAGGTGAAGAGAAAGAGAAGCAAAAGGAAGAGGAGAAGAAAGCAGAAGATGAGAAGTAAATTAGAAAGAGAAAGAGGAGGAGAAGGACGAGAAGGAAGTGGAGAAGGAAAAAGAAAGGCAGGTGAAGAGAAAGAGAAGCAAAAGGAAGAGGAGAAGGAAGCAGAAGAGGAGAAGGAAATTAGAAAGAGAAAGAGGACAAGAAGGATGAGAAGGAAGTGGAGAAGGAAAAAGAAAAGCAGAGAAAGAGAAAGAGAAGGAAAAGGAAAAGGAGAAGAAAGCAGGTGGTGGGTCTGTAGGTGACTGCGGAGCCCTATTCTTGATCTGCATCTTCTCCCACAGTGAGGACATCAGTTTCCAGGTGCAAGGCGGTCCCGGTCGGGGTTGGCTTGACGCGCCTTACTCTTGGCATGTTCCTCTCTTTCGCCCTCCATTCGTGCCTCTTCAAATTCTGCAGCACTGCTGGTTACAACTGACCTCCAGCTGGAGCACTCAAGGGCCAGGGCTTCCCAGTTCTCAGTGTCTGTGCCACAGTTTTTAAGGTTGGCTTTGAGCCCGTCTTTCAATCTCTTTTCCTGTCCTCCTTCTTTGGAGGCTTTTAAGCAGATGCTGGATGTTCATCTGTTGGGGATGTTTTGAATGCAACTTCCCTGCTTCTTGTCAGAATGGGGTTGGACTGGATGGCCCACCAGGATACTATGATTCCATGATCGTGTTACATAGCGTTATTTTCCGGCAGAGAAAGAGAAATGCTTGATGTCTTTCAGTGGGGACGGAATGATTCGTTTGCCTTGGCACTGCCAGTCCTCGACCACAACGTATCAGAGGGATACAACGGAGTCGTATCACTCTGATAGTATCGACCGGTCGCACAATTTGGAAATGAGTGGCTAGGATTTGTGTCCCTGATTGGTTGAGACCAACTGAGATGGAAATTCCCAACTAGGCTCAAACTTTTTAAACAGAGGGCTGGGTCACGGTCCCTCAAACCATTGGAGGGTCAGATCATCATCATCATCATCATCATCATCATCATCATCATTTAATAACTTATTAATTGCCCTCCATCCGAGAATGCTCCAGGTGATTTACAACTAAATTACAAAAGATAAAATAACATCTACATGAAGCCGCTGGGCGAGATCATCCGGAGTTTCGGGGTGCGGTGTTATCTGTACGCAGATGACGTCCAACTCTGTCACTCCTTTCCACCTGCTACTAAGGAGGCTGTCCAGGTCCTGAACCGGTGCTTGGCCGCTGTGACGGTCTGGATGAGGGCGAACAAATTGAAACTCAATCCAGACAAGACAGAGGTACTCCTGGTCAGTCGGAAGGCCGAACAGGGTATAGGGTTACAGCCTGTGTTGGATGGGGTCGCACTCCCCCTGAAGACGCAGGTTCGCAGCTTGGGTGTGACTCTGGATTCTTCGCTAAGCTTGGAACCCCAAGTTTCAGCGGTTTCCAGAGGAGCATTTGCACAGCTTCGGCTCGTGCGCCAGCTGCGCCCGTATCTTGGGAAGTCGGACTTGGCCACGGTAGTCCACGCTCTTGTCACATCCCGTATAGATTACTGCAACGCGCTCTACGTGGGGTTGCCCTTGAAGACTGCCCGGAAGCTTCAGATGGTCCAGCGCTCGGCAGCCAGGTTGCTAACAGGAGCGGCACTCAGGGAGCACACCACTCCGCTACTGAGCCAGCTCCACTGGCTGCCAATTTGCTACCAGGCACAATTCAAGGTGCTGGCTTTAGCCTATAAAGCCCTACACAGTTCCGGCCCCACCTACCTCTCCGAACGCATCTCCACCTATGAACCGGCGAGGACTTTAAGATCGTCCGGGGAGGCCCTGCTCTCGGTCCCGCCGGCGTCGCAGGCGCGGTTGGCGGGGACGAGAGACAGGGCCTTCTCAGTGGTGGCCCCTCGGCTATGGAATGCCCTACCAGTGGACATCAGGCAGGCCCCTTCGTTGCTGGTGTTTCGGAGGAGGGTTAAGACGTGGCTCTATGAGCAGGCGTTTGGACAACTATGCAATGACAACTAACTCAGTAAGACGGCATTGAACAAGGAACGAAAAAGGACTATGAGAACGGGATCTGATTCTAATTGAGGCGTTGATGACTGTGTGTGTTGTTTGTGTATGTACGTCTTATATATTGTCAGTGTTGCCATTTTTATTGTAAACCGCATTGAGTCGCCGTCGCAGGCTGATATATGCGGTATACAAATGGAGTAAATAAATAAATAAATAAATAATACATGCAAAAATTAAAAATTAACAGAGATCGAATGCTCTCGTAAAAAGCCAGGTCTTAAGTGTGAGAGTAAAAGGCCCTCAGTCACGCGTGGCTCTCACATAGGGTGGCAAGGAATTCCACAAGGCAGGGGCAGAAATTGAAAAAGCCCACCTGCGTTTGGTACTTTCCAAGTGCCCTTCTCTAGGACCCGGTATATGGAGTAATTTATTTATTTATTTATTTCATCTACTTATACCCCGCCCTTCTCACCCCGAGGGGGACTCAGGGCGGCTTACAGGAAAGGCACAATTAGATGCCCAAAACACACAACAAACAATACAAAATATAACAATTCAACAATTAAAATAAAACATCAATACCTAATAAAATCATAAAAACTATCTCATATCAGAGTCCATATATCCATTCCATTCCATTGTCCTTGTCTATCGACAGGTCCTTTAGTTAGTTGTCAGCATGGCCAAAAGCTTGGTCCCACATCCAGGTCTTTAGTTTTTTCCTAAACGCTAGAAGGGAAGTCGTCGATCTGATCTCCCCGGGGAGTGAGTTCCACAGGTGGGGGGCCACCACTGAGAAGGCCCTGCTCCTCGTCCCCGCCAGCCTCACTTGTGCCACTGGCGGGGTCGAGAGCAGGGCCTCCCCAGAAGATCTTAAACTTCAAGGTGGGATGTAGAGGGAGATCCGTTCGGACAAATACACTGGGCCGGAACCGTATAGGGTTTTGTAGGTCAAAACCAGCACTTTGAATTGTGCTCGGAATTGGATCGGCAGCCAGTGGAGCTGACGCAACAGGGGGGTGGTGTGCTCCCTGTACGCCGCTCCGGTGAGCAATCTGGCTGCTTCTCGCTGGACTAGTTGAAGTTTCCGAGCAGTCTTCAAAGGCAACCCCATGTAGAGTGCGTTGCAGTAATCCAACCGGGATGTGACAAGAGCGTGGACCACTGTGGCCAGATCCGACTTCCCAAGGTACGGGCGCAGCTGGCGCACAAGTTTTAATTGTGCGAAAGCTCTCCCGGCCACCGCTGAGACCTGGGGTTCCAGGCTCAGCGATGAGTCCAGGATCACTCCCAAGCTGCGAACCTGCGTAAGTCACGTTGGGATGGTCGTTGCGACCTCCGATGATGGGAGAAGGAGAGGCAGTCCCTAAGGTACAATGGACCCTGGCCGTAAAGAGTTTTAAAGGTCAGAACTAGCATCTTAGACAGGCCACGGGACTCAGTTGGAAGCCAATGTCAATGTTGCAGCACTGGTGTTCTATGGCATTTCATGGGCGTTCTTGTGAGTAGCCTGGCTGCCGCATTCTGAACAATACGAAGCTTTCGGGTTGTAGACATCGGAAGGCCCACATACAGGGCGTTGCAATAGTCCAGCCTAGACGTGACCGTGGCATGGATGACCGTTGCCAGAGCCTCATCAGATAGGGAGGGTGCCCGTTGCCTCGCTTGTCGTAGATGGAAAAAGGCCTGTTTGCTGGCAGCAGCGACCTGAGCTTCCATTGTCAGCTGCGAATCCAAAACAACACCTAAGCTCTTAACAGTGGTCGATGGAGATAGGGCGGCACCATCGAAGGTGGGCAACGGAGGAGTCAGACCTGCCAGAGAATCTCAGTCTTCACCGGGTTCACCTTCAGTCTGCTAGCACGTAGCCAGTTTGACAGAGCTTCCAGACATCGGGTGAAATTGTCTGGAATTGACGTTGCTCCAGGCTCCAGACGCAGAAGGAGTTGGGTATCATCTGCATATTGGTAGCAGTCCAGGCCGAAACTCTGAGCCAAACTAGCAAGGGGTCTAATGTAGATGTTGAAGAGAAGAGGGGAGAGAATTGCACCTTGGGGGACCCCACATAGGAGGGGGGATCTATCGGAGACTTGATCCATGTACTCCACGCGTTGACTCCGGTTCCGGAGAAATGAGTTGAACCAATTGAGGGCCTGACCACGAACTCCGGACATGGCAAGACGGTGAATCATTAGATCGTAGTCGACGGTGTCAAACGCTGCGGTAAGGTCAAGAAGTACCAGTAGCGCGGATCCACCGTTGTCAGACTGGCGATGGAGTTCATCCGTAATGGCAACCAGGACTGCCTCTGTCCCATGACCTGACTGGATAGGTGAAACGGCTGGGCCCAGGGAAGGTTGAGTCTCCCTTTGGGGCTGTGTAGCCTGCCACTACCCTGGGCTGAGCGTGGCCTTCCCCTGCCTTCAGGATGGACCCTCGCCTCGTCCTGAACTCAAAAGAAGGCGGGGGAGGGGGCAGGTGAAGTGGCTTTGAGACCACATCACCTGCTGCTTCCCTGGGCCGAGCCTGGCTATCTCCTGCCTTCAGGATGGGGCCTCACGTCATCCCGAAGGCAAAAGAAGGCGGGGGAAGGGGCAGGCAAAGTGGCTTTGGGGCTGCGTCACCTGCCACTTCCCCGGGCCAAGCCTGGCCATCTCCTGCCTTCAGGACAGGGCCTCGCCTCATCCCGAAGGCAGGAAAAGGTGGGGGAAGGGGCAGGCAAAGCGGCTTTGGAATCGTATCACCTGCCACTTGCCTGGGCCGAGCCTGCTCTTCTCCTGCCTTCGGGATGGGGCCTCGCCTCATCCTGAAGGCAGGAGAAGGCCAGGCTGGGCCCAGGGATCCCCATTTGGGGCTGCGTCGCCTGCCGCTTCCCTGGCCAGCCTGGCCTTCTCCTGCCTTCAGGATGGGGCCTCGCCTCATCCTGAAGGCAAAAGAGGGTGGGGAAAGGGAAAGGTGGGGGAGGGAGCAGGCGAAGCGGCTTTGGGACTGCTTCACCTGCCACCTCCCTGGGCCCAGCCTGCTCTTCTCCTGCCTTCGGGATGGGGCCTCGCCTCATCCTGAAGGCAGGAGCTTTGGGGCCATGTTGCCTGCCGCTTCACCGGGGTGAGCCTGGCCTTCCCCTGCTTTTGGGATGGGGCCTCGCCTCATCCTGAAGGCAGGAGAAGGCAGGAGAGGTGGCAGGCGATGCGGCTTTGGGGCTGCTTCGCCTGCCGCTTCTCCACACCCCGCAGGCTGGATAAATACTCTCGGGGGGGCAGGGCCGGCCCGCGGGCCGTAGTTTGAGAACCCCTTCCCTAAAGAATCCTGTTCCTCCTTTGGGGATTTCCTCTTGGAGATCCCACCCAATCTGGGATAAATCTTGACACCTTTTTTTCCCCTCCTTTGCCATTGCATCCTATCAGTGATCACGGCATGAATGCAATAAGATTGCCTTGAAACACCCCATTAATGCCACGGCTGATGATAAGCGAGGAAAGCAATCTAAATGAATAAGTAAACCTTTCCCCCGAGGAGTTCTGGAAAAAAGATATCTATGGAGAGGAGTGCCTCGTGTTGCGTAAAGTCGAGTGGGTTTGATCGAAGGACCGAATCACCACCACAAACATTTCCTCCGTCCTTCTCTCTAATGCGAATCCACTTATCACTTGCTACATTGAGTATTCATAGCAAGGAAACTTTTTAATGGAACCGAAGCCGGGGAAGGAGGGGGAAAAAATAGTCTTCCACGGGATCGTCTCCTTGACGAACACGCCGAAAATTAAAAAATAATTGAACCAGATCCAATGCCTCCATTTATTTCCCGGTGAGTGGCAAGGGAGCGGCAGAGCTCTAATGCTCGGCTTTTGTCGCCTTGTCACTTTGATAAATTCTTTAGTAACTTCTGACTTTAATGCAAAGCAAGGCTTGCGTTCGCTCGGCGTTCCCTGTCACTTAAATGCCAGGCGAGACAATGGTGCCGGTTGGAAATCGGAAGGCCTCGTTTCCCAGGGAGGGAAAGACGGACGGATTTTTGCTCATCAGCAATTTTAGCCTTTTGGGCGTAAAACCAAATTGTGACTTTTCTCAGGTGTTTCTGGACGGCCGGACGTTGGGAACTGTGGGACTCCAACCGGACAGCAAGACTCCTAAGCGTTGTCTAAATGGGATGTCTCAAAGAGCAGTGGACTCTCATCCATGGAGGGCTTTAAGTAGGAATTGACTCCTGGGTTGTTGTAGGTTTTTCGGGCTGTCTGCCCATGTTCCAGAAGCATTCTCTCCTGATGTTTCGCCTCAGAGGTTGTGAGATGTATTGGGAAACTAGGGAAGTGGGGTTTATACGAGGGTTGAATGAAAACGTTACTTGGGTTTGGACCTAGGTGCTTGTTTATAAAGCCCTGAGCTTTGCGAGTGCAGCATTTTTCCGAATGAAGCAGAGTTTGAGGACCGGGACATCCGTAGGGAGACCAATGGGCTTGTTTATAAAGCTATTGTCCTCCCAACCCTGCTATATGCCCGCAAAACGTGGACTGTCTACAGACGTCAACATCGACACCAAAATACAACACCGCCTGAGTTCTGTGAGTGCAGCATTTTTCCGAATGAAGCCGAGAGTGTTTGAGGACCGGAACTCCATAGGGAGACCAAGGTGCTTGTTTATAAAGCTATTGTCCTCCCAACCCTGCTATACGCTTGCGAAACGTGGACTGTCTACAGACGTCAACATCGACACCAAAATACAACACCGCCTGAGTTCTGTGAGTGCAGCATTTTTCCGAATGAAGCCGAGAGTGTTTGAGGACCGGGACCTCCGTAGAGAGACCAAGGTGCTACTTTATAGAGCTATTGTCCTCCCAACCCTGCTATACGCCAGTGAAACGTGGACTGTCCACAGACGTCAACATTGACACTGAAATGCAACACTGCCTGAGTTCTGCGAGTGCAGCATTTTTCCGAATGAAGCCGAGAGTGTTTGAGGACCGGGACCTCCATAAGGATACCAAGGTGTTTGTTTATAAAGCTATTGTCCTCCCAACCCTGCTATACGCCTGCGAAACGTGGACTGTCTATAGACGTCAACATTGAC